TGGTTTATGTATTTAAACCTTCAGTCTAGTAATCATGTGATGTGTAGGAGTTGTATGAGCAATGTCAATAGTTGAAAATCCTAGTTCAAGTAGTGTGTTGCTCAGTCTTGGTTATTGGACAAAAACAACAGTAGTAGAGTGACTGTGAGATGGGCTATGAGTGGATGAAGATAATCTGGGGGTATATATAGAGTAAATTCTGAGTCAATTTGAAGGATTTTGTGATCTATTGTTGTGTGAAGGATTATGAATGGAAGTTGATGAAGTGATTAAGAAATGTTAAAAAATAGTATAAAGAACAAAGGTAAGTTGTGAAATCCATAAAGTAAAATCGGTATTTTTCTTGTGCATTGTTTTCAAGCATTACATACAGGAAGTTCGCATAACTAGGAATAATTACTAACAACAAATCATAGGAATACACTTGTTTTGTGACAACTTTGTTTTGTCTTCTTCAACGTTTGAATGAGTTATCCTATGTTTCTCTTTCATGACAACATGTGATGATCTGGTGGCTGATATTGAAGGGTTGAGTACAGTCAATGTGTGATATCATTATGCTTGTGATCTGAACCATATCCAATGACTATGATTGTTTATCAATAAATTAAAACATCTCATCTCAATTCGAACTTAGGTTTAGGGAAGATCTAAAGCTTATTCCTTAACATACTAAATAATTACAATCTGAGTGGCTTTGCAAAAAGTATGTGACACCTGATTAATAGATGGCATATGAAAAACATAAAGATTCTTTGATAAAACTTTTTTTGTCTCACAAAATGTAAATCGATTAAATTTGCTTTGTTTTTGCATGTTGCACAGGATTATAGGCAAAAGATATAGTGCTTGTATTTTCAACCTCAATACATGAAATTTTTGAAGTGGAATGCATAACACTTTATTAAAGACTGAAACACATGATCTCAGCTTTTGCACCTAAACTCATGTACTCTGATTTGATGCTAAATCTTAAAACACTGGTTTGCTTTATTGTTATTCATTAAATTAGATTATTTATTAGAAAGACACAAAAACTATAGGTTGATTTCATGTTATCCACGTCACTTTCCTAGACAAAAAANATTTGAAGTATTGGACTATGCGTCTTTGAACCAAATTCTTACAAGAACACTTTTAATTTAATTAAACCAAGCTCTTGAAGCTTTCTCGAGACCATAAAGAGTTGTAAAAAGTTTACAAACAAGATCCCATCCACCTGTGCCCTCCTCAAAACCAACTAGTTGTGTGATGTAGGTATCTTAAAAAACAATTCATGAAGAAAGGTACTATTGATGTATGATTCCTAATCAATAGTGACAACCCAGAAAAGAATTACTCTTATTGTTATTATCTTAACAAAATGAGTGAAAGTTTAAGAGAAGTCCAAGCTAGAATATTGAGAAAAAACTTGTGCAACAAGTCTTGCCTATATATGGAGACTTTTCCCTTAACATCTCTTTAATTTGAAGATGAGCCATCTACCACCAACAAGACATTTTCTAGGAGTAGAGTTGTTAAGCTCCATATTTTGTTGATGAAAAGAGCTTATATTCTTAATCCATGGCTGCTTTCCAAATAAGAGAACTTAGAGCCTCATGAACATTTACACGCTCTTTATCACAATGTACAGTAAGAGTATAAACCTTCGAATCTTGAATGCCAACTCTTAGTCCTATAATTATGATAGGATGTTCAAAAAGTTTTGTTACTTCCTTAGGCAAGGAATGTTGGGGCACGGATTGTGTAGGGCTCATACTAAGTGACTGGAAAAATATAGGCACATTAGAATGACTATGATGAGAACCATGGACTGGTGAAGAAAATCTACGAGTTTGAGAACATTGAGAACAAAAATGTTGTGGAGATTACGGATGACCACTTCAAAAATTATCTGATATAGAAACTGAATGATGATTATGAGAATGGACAGTGGATACTAGTGGAGGTGTGAAGTACATAAATGACTTGAATTCATGGGTTGTTTTTAACACATGTCTATCTTGATTAAGCTACTTTGATTCATCAGATAACACATCTCTAGGCAAAATTATATTTCCATTTGGAATAAGAATTTTCAATGCCTTTATTGATTACTATAATAATTGATTATACCAGTCATACATCTAAATTCAAGTTTATGCTTATTAAGAGGTCAAAAAACTAGAAAGGCTAAGTAACAAAAAATCATAAGCTTTTTGTAGTCTGGTTCATGTTTTAACATGTCAATAGAACTCTTGTAATATAGGGATTATTGATTATATAGGTTTAAGTGATAGAAGCATCATCCCAAAAAGAAGAAGGTAAATGGAGTGAGCAAGAAGAAAAAGACGGTTTGAACAACATGCATTTGTTTTCTCTGCTACGTCATTTTGCTGATGGGCATATGGACAAAATAATTATTCTCTCATGTAAATTCCAGTAAACATATGTACTAACCTATTTGAAAGATTTTAAGGGTAGTATTGAGTTGATTTTCTGCAAGTTTCTTGAAATGAAGAAAGACTTGTTGAATTTCATATTTGATTTTTAGAAGTATATCCATGTAAACTTTCAAAAATTATCAATAAAGGTTACATAGGTATATCCAACTTTCTTAGAGAAAATTCATCTGTCTTTACAAATTCAATCTTCCTCTTCCCTTCCGATACTTGTGTCACATTCAACGTTTGTTTCATTTAGATAATGCATCTTGAAAAGTTAAAGGTATGTATTAATCAACAATTGTAAGTGCATATCCACCAATTGAGAAGGATTTTTAATATCTTGTGTTGATGGCCAAATGCCAATAGTTATAGATTTATATTTAAAAGGTTGTTATATTGAGGGTTACCAAACTACTGAGGAGAAATAGGATTTAATTGCCAAATTAGGGAGAGAAAAATGGAAGGACAGGCATAGAAAATTAATAAGACACTTATTTTGTCGATCTGCGGAAGAGATCAAAAAGGAGAAAACGTTTTTCTGGGAATTTTTATTGAGAGTGATTTTTGTGTTTTGTGGTTGTTGTACAAGGTTGCGTGTTGCTGGAAGGAAAGAGTTATCCAGTATTTATGCACCAAAAAAGATAAAATTACAATAAATGGATTGTTCCAGCTAGGACGTAGAGTGACGCTGCGTGTATTCATACAAACCTCGACTTTTGAGGATGGGACGGCTTGGGCGGTGGCTTTATCAGCTTTAACAGTTCTCTTTCTACATGAATAAAAAGATCGACAATCTTCTTGGGAAAGACTCAGGGTGAGATCGGCATAAGGGATGGTCGGCTGATCAAGGAGATCGACAGATATTGCCAGTGTTGCCACTTGGGCTTCTGGTTCTCTAACTTTATAGGCCCTATGCTCATTCAGCCTTGTCTTGATGGGCTGGTCCAAAATCCGTAAAAATTTAGGTGCAACATGGAGACCCACAGGTTCCTAGGTGTGGAAAGATCACCGATACACCTAGGAAGCTATTTCATTTGAACTCTTATTTCTGTCGATCGTGATGTCAGTCACGCCGGAATGAGTCAGGGCAGATAAGATGTCCTTTCAATTTAAACATTAAAAAGAAAGAGCAGTGTCCCGTCGGAGTTGAGGTGTGCCTTTTCAAATTATGACATGTCCCTTGGGTTCCGTGCATTTAAGGATGAGCTGATTGGAGGGTTGGAGAATGTATTCAACAAATAAAGGACCCACGGCCTATAGTTGCTTTTACCTCTTTTTTTTTGTGAAATCTCTGAGATTTTATTTTCCTTTTTCTCTTCAAAACGTTGATCAGACACTTTTGCCTTCTCGCAAAAATATTTTGGATATTAGTGATCACGAGGTGGAGGTGATCTTAGAGGGAGATCGCGAAGATCAGAATCAAATAACTGAGGACCACTGGCGGTGGCTGCCGATGGAAGAACCGTCAAAACTGGACGAGATGGAGATTTTCAAACTCGCAAGCACATTTGAAGATCGCGATGTGGTAAAGTTGAGAGAAAAGTACAAGATCCTTAGGAGTCAAGATGTTTGTGCCATACGAAAATGAACGGACTCACTGTCCGCAACGTGGGAGAATTGCAGTTCACCGAGAGTCCTTGGTATCGGGGTAACGATTTCCCCTACCCTAAGTGTTCTTAGAGTATCTAAAGGAATGGGGATTCTAAAATAGCCAGGTGAATCCAAACCTTATGTCTCGTCTATGCTCTTTGATCGTCATTCTCGTAAAAAAAGGGTAGTCGGCTTCGACCATGGAGGAGTTGGATTCTATGTATATCTAAAACACAGCAAAGGCGGGATCGGTATATTTTCTCCCGACTCCGCGTAATGATAAGTACATCAATCTGGTGAAATGCATACCTGAGTCTCGCCACAAGTGGAAGCAAGAGTGGTTCTGTGTAACAGGAGGATGGAAGACTTATCGCCCATTCGGCCATTTCGCGTACGTGCCAACCTTCTTGGTGGAAAAAATGCATAAGTCCTTCGTCGATCCGAGTAAAATAAGGTATCTTCTTTTTTTGCGCAAAGTAATAACTTTTTTTTTCAGTGGATAATGTTGCGTATCATATGGATTCAGACTTCAAGGAGAAGTTGAAGGAGATCCTGGAATTGACGGTCCCCAAGGGGAATTATCGATCTTTGTGCGAGATCGAGGAGATGATCAAGGTTAATTTGCGCCTAACGTTTGACTATATGCCAATTGAGACATGCAATTTGTCAAGAATATTTATTCTTCTTTGTTAGTATTATGCTCTCTTTTTATATTTCGTTGATCTGCAGTGTTTTACCCGACGACGGATGTAACAGGAATGACCTTATCTTAGAGACAAAGATCCAATAGAAGGATCAAAAAGTTGAGGAAGAAAAAATAAGTAAGGGTTATCCAGTCGTAGAGCAGCATTAAATGCACAAAGATAACCAACACCTAGGGAATATGTAGTGTGATTGCCACCAAAGACATGATTTCAAAGGATAGGTCTGAAGCACTAATCAACTGGATTGTTGGAAAAAACAATAGTTGAGTCGAAATGGAAAATGAAAGAATCTCTCATTTGTGATCGACTTTCCACTCCTTCAGAGATTGTGGAATTAGAGATTGACAACCAAGATGATCCATTGGAGAAGGTGGAGCCGACAAAAGATGTCGTCGTGGAGGATATAATTACTGAGCCGGAGGGAGATCGCCAAGATCCGTCGGAGGAGGGTTGTCAGGGTTTGTTTGCGCAAGATGATGAGCAGACACCAGAGGGAGAGACTGAAAAGGTGGCAATTTGATAGTCCGAACCACCTCTATGAGGTGAGGATGAGGATCAGCTTCTCAAGTGCTATCTCTAGGTTATCTATCTTCCACGCGATCCTTCAAAACAAAGGGTTGGATATAATTTTGAGGGTCGTAGACCCGACTGTGTTGCAACTTCATTGGTTCTGAGATTATGCAGATTCTCAATCCTCATAATGTTCCAGAGAATATAGTAAGTGTTGTGTGTTTCCCTATGATGGTTTGGACCCATGATCTGAAGGAGAAGGTCTCGACAATGACAGCATCAAAAAGTTTGCAATGGTCGGAAGCCTATATGGCTATAGCGAAGCGTTCGGTAATGCATGGCGTCAATGATGCACAAGGGGTGGCCGCCGAGTCGACCAGATTCAAGACTTGTACAGAAAGACCTTTGAAGAATTTTTGGTGATCGCTATGGAGAGGGATAAACTTCAGTCAGATTAGAAGGACATCAAGGCTCGTCATGGGCGTTAACTTAAAGAAATAAAGCAAGAAAATGAGGTTATAGAGAGGTATCATGCAGCAACTATGCAGCACTTGAAACAAAAGTTGTCCAACACTCGTTAGGAAATGGAGCAGGAGAAGGCCGAGGCAGAAAGGATCACTGAGAGAGGGTCTAAGCAGTTTGATGAAGATCTGGCGATTGGCTTGGCGTAAGGAAAGGAGGTCGACTTTATAGAGGGTAAGAAAATTGGCCTTGCTAAAGGGTATAAACAAGGCGAAGAGAAGTGAATAAAGATCGGCAAAGAGATTAGCGAAGGCGCAGAGATCGCTGAAACTGCAGATATGGTGGAGATGAAGCGAGTTGCATGCGTTCGCTGGGTTTTAACAACTCTGGAGAAAGGATAGGACCTGGACTTCAACAATTATGTTTATGCCCGCTAAAAGGATCGTTTGGAGCTGACTTCTAACGAGGATAGCGAGCCGGATCTGGATGCAAAGGCGGCTATGAAGGATCGTACCGATGCCCCAAGTCATGAGCAACCGATCATGCAATTTGATCCTAGATCGGCTTGGTGTTGTCGGCTTCCTCCAGAGATGTGACTCTTTCTAAGGAAACGACTTCGGCTTCTCATAGAGTGGCTTCTAGCAGTGGTGATGTCAATCTTTTGTGCTTAATAGTTTAAGTAGTAAACCGAGTGTGGTCCTTTTAGGAAATAGATTTTTGTCGTGTTTTGGCCGAATGTGGCCTAGTTTTGCATTTGTTGAATTGTATCCAGTTAAAGGCTAAAAAAGATGTTCTTCTGAAGATTTTAATAAAATATATTTTACAAAAAAGATGTCCTTTGATTAAGGTTGAAAGAGTTTGTTGTNGTTGGGGGCCTTGTTTGGCCTAAGTACTGGAAAATATAGTTTTTACGGTCCTTTGATTGGGTAGTCGTATTTGTTTCATCAGTAAGTGTTGTTTGGCATATTGACTTTAGTCGATGTCTCCTTTGTGGGATGATATTCTGCCGAATTGTTCTTCGAAGCATTTATGCACAGATCGACTATATTGTTGCCAATCTACCAACTTTTATCTATGGCGAGGGAAGCTTTCGGTCTTGGCTTACCTTAACTGTTTAGATCAATCCGCCGAGGGAGATTACTCCACGAAATGTGACTTGGTTTGGCCCCTATAGCAACTCGATTTGGTCACCGTAGTGTCGGGCGGTAATGATAAAAATTAATTAGTGACCGTCTGACAATTAAAGGACGATCACCGAGTTGACTGACTTCAATACCTGAATACAAGATCTGGGAGTGGCTCATATGGGATGTTCTTGTCAGATATATCCTCAAGCCCTAGCTGTTTAGGAAGCCGTCGTTTTTCTAGGATCAAAGAGTTATACACCCTGAAGTTCTTGTCGAGGGTGAGCGAATCAATCCTATACTTGTCGAAGGTGGGCTAGTGTATGTTTTGACAAAGAATTTGTAGATTTGGATTTTTTTATGATCGTAGGAGACAAAATGATAGTATTTGGAAGTCTTTGTTTGAGCAGAGCAACGAGATGAATAGATTCGTAGAGGTCGGCTTGACGTCCTTTCTTCCGACCCATCATAAAGCAAAGAAAGAGAGTCGGTTGTGTCGTCCTTCTTTTAAGAGGATAGAATCCTTAACCTGAGATAGCCTTTTATAGAGGTAACTCTTGATGTTTCCCCTTATCTAATGTCATTTGTGGACGGTTGACTCATTACGGTTATAGATTTATATTTAATAGGTGGTTAAATTTGAGGTTACCGAACAACTGAGGGGATTAGAATTTAATTACCAAAATAGGGAGTGAGGAAAATGGAAGGACTATTAAAGAAAAATAATAAGACACCGATTTTGCCGATCTGCATGAGTTCGTCAAGGAGAAAAGGTTTCTCAAAAAAAATTTATTGAGAGTGATTTTTGTGTTTTGTGGTTGTTATACAAGGTTGTGTGTTGTTGAGGGGCAAGATTTTTTCGGTATTGATGCACCAAAAAATGTAAAAGTACAATAAATGCATTGTGCCAACTAGGGGCGTAGAGTGTCGCCGCGTGTATCCATGCAAAACTCGACTTTTGAGGATGAGATGACTTGGGCGGTGGCTTTATCAGCTTTAACAGTTTTGTTTCTACATATAAAGGAGATCACCAATCTTCCTGGAGAAGATTCTGGGTGAGATCTGCATAAGGGATGATCGGCTAATTGAGGAGATCTGCAGATCTTGTCGGTGTTGCCTCTTGGGCTTCTGGTGTTCGAACTTTTAGGCCCAATGCTCATTCGCCCTGGTCTTGATGGGCTGGTCTAGAGTCCAACTTTGATATGAATTGAGCAAATCTAAATTCTTGAGATAGCACTTCATTTTCATCATCCAAAAAATGCTTATTTGAATCATTATCGCATCTATCTCTACCAGCTTTGATATGAATTCCTATATCTCCACCAACTTTTCATTCTTGAACACATAATTATACTCTCTTGACAAACACAAAAGAGATTGTTTCATATTCTAAGTAGTTGTTATTCTTCTAGTCCTTTTTGTTGTTAATGTCTTTGGTTTCTATTCTTAGTGGCACTGTCAACGTCGACACCTTGCTGAAAGCAAAAATTAACATATTGCAGTTCCACATGCCAAAATGATCAGTCCCAATGATGCGTCCTTAGTGGTCCTAAACTCAAATGTAGTACTTGTCCTATGAAACGATCCTAAGTCGAACCTTCGACTCTAATACTACTTGTTATGGTATTACGACAAACGTAAA